GCTCCAGCGTCGACAGGGTGTAATCGCCATTCAGGACGTAGGTGCCATCTGCCGCTTTGATGGCGAGGAAGCTGCCATCGTGTCTCGCACCCCTGTGGTTTCGCTGCTTCACCTCAATGTTCGTCGCCCCAGCTGGAATGGTGACAACGTCGTGGTAGCCGGGTCTGCCCAAGAGAAAAGAGAAAGACTGAGTCCTCCGCTCTTCACTGCGAACGGGAAGAAGCAACTGCTCGGCAATGAATTCCATTTGAAGCCAAAGCGTTAAGCTCATGAGCTGCTGACCTAATTGAATTAAGGGATTAAGGGATTTGCAAAGCCACATCCCATATTCTTGCTATGGCAGAGGCATGCCCACGTGGAAGGGGCTTCCTTTCGCTGGCATCTCACTGTAAGTTATCTTCAGTTAGATGGCTCTGACAGATCAAATCTCAGTTCCGACAATAAACTGGGGCAACACCTCACTGACTTGGAAACCCAAAGCTTACACCCACAAAACATTCACCAGAACAAAATAATAGCAGCAGTTATACACTCACTTTGCTCTAACAAGTGTGCCAGACACTTTCTTGCAAGTGGATCCATTGCCACCGCAGACACCGCATTTGTCAAACTTCTTATTGGATCCTATCATACGGTCGCAGCCAGCCTTTACGCACTGTCCCTGGACGCAGACGGAGGTGGAATCGGGGCTACATGGGGTACCATCCACAACCTTTGCAGGAAAGAAGCAGTAGGGCGTCTGATTAGAAGATGCACATTGCTTTGAAATTGCATAATACAGACACATACAAAATATGGACAGGTGGAGGACCTGCGGCACCTGTAGTTTCAAGGCTTTTGAAACCAAAACCCGAAGCAGCCCATAGGTAGTTGGAGGTGTGCAGTGCTACTTCATCTCACTTGCAAAAACAATGCCATGGTGACAGGAGAAAATAACCAGTTTCATTTTCTATTAACACGGCCTTCAAACCCCTCCACCCACAAAGCTGCTTTACTCATTTCATAGAAAAAAAAAATAATGTGGTTTTCTAATGTAACTAGAAGGTAGCCATGTCCTCGAAGTACAGGACCAAAATTGCTTTTAATGGTGTTCAATGTATCTTTTATTTCTAGGAGTACTGCTCTACAAAAAACATCTGTGTCATCACCCTGGTAGTTATTGGCTCTCAACATCTTATGACAGTGCGTTCAAGTAGCTATGCAAGACGAACATTTTTCCTTCTGTTTATTTTAAGCTGTCAGCATATTAGTAACCGGTATGAGAGAGCACCAATGTTTTGGCAAAGAACCCCCACAGTTTTCCAAACATACCTCAGTGTAATCAAATTGGTGGAAGGAGAGGAAAGGAAACTAGGGTGGAGTGGGTAGAAGAGGCGGTACGTGTAAAATAACTGGAAGGACTGTGCCAGAATATTTAAAGCGTGCTTGCGCTGATCAAGCTGTACATGTAGGAAGAGGAGAAGGAAGAATCTAGCTTGAATGCGAGAAAGACACAAATTCAATTTCTACAGTCCTTGACTCTTAACTTCACATAAAGAGTTAGAGGAAATAAAAATCTTATTCATGATCAGAGGGAAGAGGTATAGTTTTGAAATACCTTTGGCTGTAAAACAAAGAAGTATCCTGTTCCTTTTGCTCGGCAGACCAGCTTGCATCTGTCTTTTGGAGAGACACCGGCAAACTTGGGTGTCCACTCCACTGCAGGTCCACTTCCAAAGGGAGACTTAGAAAACTCATTGTGCTTTTCACATTGTTCCTCCCTAAAGGTTTTGCCTGCAGGCAGAGGAAAGACAGGTGGACATTAGATCATCTTCTGTACATGCTCTTCCTCCACCAGATACCCTTCTTCCACCTCAAAAATGGGGAAAAGATTACCATCATTGTCCGGACAGTCCTCGATGTTACATGATCTGTATTGCACCCGCTTCCCTTCGCAGTATTTCCCCCCATTTTTTGGGACGGGGTTGTCGCACTCCCTGAAAGAGTACTGCACTCCACCACCACAGGTCCGGGAGCACTCTCCCCACGCCCCCCAGGACCCCCAGCTCCCATGCACTGGTGTCTGGAATGACAAGAAAAAGCAGAGCAAAAAAGTTAATTCAGTAAAAGCAAAACAAAACCAAACCACAAAATCCACAACCATGCTCATTTTTACCTAAGCCATTTGTAAAAAAAAAAAAAAACAAGCTCCGAGTTTGCTTTAGTAGCTATCTACCTCCATTTATTCAAGCCCTTTTAACTGATTACTCCCACTGAAGCACACTATCCCTGCTACTCTGTAACCCAAGATATATTCTGATTTCTTTTTTACTACTTACATCATAATGCTTCTTCTCAGTTTTATTCACACACTTGCCATTCATGCACCACTTCCCTTCCCCACAACTGGTGCCGTCTGCCCAAGGGAAGTGTTTGGTTTGGCACACGAGCAGTCCTCCAGAAGTGCCAGTACACCACAGCGTCGTACATGTACTGGCTGCATCAGGGCAGTGCTTGGACTCATCTCCAAATGTAAACTGGCACTGTCTGTTGGCGTCGTACAACGTGCCAGGCAAGTCAGAAGGAAGCTGGATTGGTTTGTGGGGCTTGTCCAACAAACACTCACCTGAAAAGGAAGAAAAAAGAAATAAAAAAAAGCAGTCGATGCTGTCAGTGAGTGCGGCTTCAAAAGGGAGAAATGCATTTCCATCTCTGGAACTGCACTTGCTTTGCAATCTAAGTCCCTGAGCCAATTTGTGCTACCATTTTTGTAAAACTAAATTCATTTGCAGGATGAAAAAGGTTAACTATATGCCGTAGCAGAAAGCACTCCGTTAAGAAAAAAGAAAGAAAAAAAAAAAAAGCAAAGCAGTAAAACACAAGAGCTGAAATGCCACATGAATGGAAAGCTTAATAATCTTACCATGACCGTTGTCCAAAAATGTTGTAATCATGTAGGCACTACATGGAGACCAAGGCTGGCTGCGATCCAGGTTGGAAAGCATAGATGCCATCATGTGGAAATCCCGGCTTATTCCATTAATACCAGCACACTGCTTTGCGTCGTCATGAGGCATGTTAAACACGTGGCCTTACAAAAAAAAAAAAAAGAAGGGAAGTTTGTGATTTTAGGAAGTCTGTCCTATGCATTACTATTTTAAACACTACTCTAGAGCCACTCATAGCCTGGTCTTTAAATAATAACCCAAATCTGAATACTGCCAAACTTTAAGCAGATGGCACTGTATTCTTTGCTCCCCTCACAGGCTTCTCGCATGCTTTTTTTCTGCAATCAGTCAAATACACAGCTCTTGCAGACAGTGCCGTGCAGACCGGATTTGCTTTCCACAGTTCAACCCTGCTCCACGGCAAAGCTTTGCCTCCTCCCGACTGCGCTGGGGAGCGCAGGGTGCTCCGAGCCCCACAGGGCGAGCCCGTGGTGCGGGCTGGGCAGCAGCTCTTTGCTTTACGGCATCAAGCTGGCTTCAATTAATCACGTGAAATCTCCTTTCAAAGTTTCAAGTACCTAGTTCGTGGGCTGTTGTAAAGGCAGCCTGTAAACCATCGTCTTCTATGATAGAGCAACTGCGGTTTAGATCACAAACTGTTCCCACATCAGCCATCCCAAGAGTATCACATGTCTTGGCACCGCAGAGGTCCTGTAAAAAAAAGGCATTTCATTATTAATCAGATCAGAGACTTAACCTTGGCAAGAAACATCCAGCCCTGGCAGTTTGCCTTTACTTATGGAAAGAGCATAAATATTCAGCACTTCAATGGGTATGATGGCAAAAATCTGTCTTTGGAACATACATGAGGGTTACACGTAGAAAAAAAAATGCATAATTTCCATACTAAATCTGCTAAAAATATACAAGGCAGAAATACGTTGCACACACTGTGAGTTTCACCTGAGACGGTGCAAGCAGCAAAACAAACGACTAAATAAAAAGCGGTTCATTTCATTTTTAGCCTGCTTTGCTGAAGCCGTGATGACACAAGACTGCCTCTGAACGCTTTTTTGGAGGTCTCCTGTCAGAGGGGGCCTCCGGGGGTAGGGAGCAATGGGCGTGGGGATGGATTTGACCTCCGCGTCCCTCACCTGCCTGGTGAAGAGGATTGCCGTGTCGTAGTGTTCGGCGTGCCGGTCACTGGGCGGGTTGTGCTGCTTCTGCCAGCTGCAGAAGTTTCTCAAAGTCAGGGCTGCGTTGGAAGAGATATCGGGTCCCTTCCGCTCCTCGTAAATGACCATGATTTTCACCACCACCAGGCTGATAGAGTTGCGGATGCTGGGGTGCTTGTACAGCTTGGCCGCCACGGAGAGCAGCGTCAGGAGATAGTGCTTCAGCCCGCTGCCGTGGAACTCGGCCATGGACTGGTCGGCTACCAGCATGGTCTCCACGTAGCGGGGGCTGGACACGAACCTCTTTTTCCTTCTGCTTCTTGTTTCTGCATTAAAGAGAGGGAGAGGGAGGGAAAGCGCAGGTCAGCGCGACAAGAGACCACCGTAAGGAACCCCAAA